AATTTTCGAATTTAAGCATTTGGAAAAGAGTTGCTATACAAGAACTTGCCTTATACGGTCAGTTTCTAAGACAGCTATATGTTAAAGTGGTCTAATCTGGAAAATTTTTTTCGGATATTGTAACGTTGCCTCGAATAATAATCCTTGCCACATTCCGTGAAGATATCTTGTCAAATGTTTTCTATATAAAGACTGTTATGTTTTGATCGTTCGGTTTGCATTGCATCTATATGTTATAGTGGTCCAATATCGGCGGTTCCGACAAATTAGCAGGTTCTTGAGGTAAAAGGGCAACTGGAAAATTATAGATCGATATCTCACAAACTGAGGGACAAGGTCGCGTATATCTAGATGGAGACACGAACAGATAGACGGATATGGCTAAATCGGCTCAGCATGTCACGCTGACCATTTATATATATTTTATAGGATATTTTTTCTACGTCGCCCCTGATCATTTAAATATCACAAAATTACTTAAGGGTATATGCCATTATAACGATATAATGGTATTTTTTATGGTCGCCAGTGTATTCTATATATGTACACATATCCAAGATTTTTCTACAATAATCTACCTCTCAAAGAAATCCTTGCACCGAGGCCGAGTGATGTCGGGCGCGCTCATACCTTCACTGCCCTTCACTGCCAACCTCCGCTGCACAGACGGCTCACTTTACTGCTAGCGTACCTAACTGGCTAACAAAAGTCTTTGACTCTTTTAATGGACTCAAGTTGTGTTACAATCTGTAGGCTCACATAATCACCGCCCTCCCCATCCACCTTTGTTAATGGCATGTTCGGGTTAGCTTACGTACATAACGTTTCGCTTGAGTGCAATACTGCGGCGGAAGAAAGTGTGTATGAAGTGGAGCTGTTTATTTACCGCCCAACAGGAATGCGCTTTCATTTTGTGAGACAACTTAAAGAAGCTTAAGTTGAGGAGCATACTTCCGCTGACACTTACGTGTACTTGTCTATATGGCCTGCTCTACACTCCCCACATATGTATGTTCACACACGCTTGTTTTGTCTCTCCTACATCATCCGTTGCGCCACTTGTAAGTGTCTGCAACATACTTTATCATTTTGTTTCCTCCTTTGTGTGCTTCTCGAAACGTCTGTACGCGTATGGATTAGCCGTGTTAAGTCTTCAACTCAATTAAGTATTTTGTTGCCTTTCTTTAGTCACATATTCCACTACATAGCTTGTTGCTGCTTGTGAGGATTGTCTTGTCATAACTGCACATTTATTTCTTTACGTTTGCTTTGAAATTTTTTCTTTGAGACATTTCAAACGGCGACTATATTATTTCCTTATAATTCATTGCTATTTATCATTTCTAGTTGCAGACTAAATGACAAATCCTAGTCTTTACTTACTATCAATATGAGTTAGTTTATACAAGTACATAGATAAAGTGACGGACGGAAGTTTATCTAGAAATAAGTCGTAAATAAATGCCCAATAAATTGATTGATTTTGCCTTAAGCGTGAGATGCGCTCGTTCTTATACTGTTTGTACCTAAATTTCTTTGCCACAACATATCAACATGTTTGGGCTCATAGCAGAATTAGCCAGCCGAAAAGAAAACACGTAAAGGCAAGTCTAGTCTTTCGAATGATTATAACTGATAAAATCAAAATTTTATAACAGTTGATTAATTTCGCAATATTAGAAGCTTGTTATTAATTAAATTCTTAACAGGGTATATTAAGTTTTCCACGATGTTTGTAAGGCCCAAATGGAAACATCAGAGACCCTTAAGAGTAGAAATATAAATGATCAATGGTCCCTTAGAGTTTGAAGTACCGATCTGCAGTTTTGCACCTGTCCTCTTCTCACCCAGCCCTGCTCCTTTGTCGAAACCACCAATATCGAACCACTTTAGCATATAGCTGCCATACAAACAGAACGATCGGAATATAGTACATGTATGGAAAGCTTTTTCGTTTGACGAGATATCTTCTAGAAATTCGGCATGGGTTTTTTTATAAAGCAATGTTGTAAAATCCGAAAAAATGTTTCAAATTATCCAAGATTGAGTCAGTTGCCTACTCAACGTTCGTCTATAATATTATATCATTTATAAGTATGTATTATAAAATAGTAAATGTTTCAGGATCTAAACATATGCCTTCACGATGCGGCAGCTTGAAAGTCGAGACTGTGACGTATGAATCGAGAAGATGAGTACAAGAAAGTAATAAAACTGGACGTTAAAGAAATAAAACAAAATTAAACTGCGCCAAGTAATGCTAAGAAGAGAGAAGACGTATAATGCAAACAAGAATGCAGCTAAAGCACGAGGAGGAGTCGAGGGCAGATGGCGAATGAACGACCGCTCAAACAAGCAGCTGTTTGAGAAGCGCTGTAATGATGACAGCTGGAGCTGTAGTAAACTCTTACACACACGTAATCCATTTACAGTTAACCCAACCAACTGGATGTTGTCTTGCCACTTGACAAGCCAGCGGTTGCTGGTTGCTTGCCACAGGTCATGATTATCTATTGCGGAAATGTTGAATGCGCTGCTGAAGCATTTCAAAGTATACATAAGTATATATAGGTATATATATAAATATATATATGTATAAATGTGTTGGAATGCATATGCGCGTGTGTTTCCATTTGTAAGTATGCATGTGTGTGGGCTTCCATCTATATGTAAGTAACAAAGGCTAAGAACGGCTAGCCATCAGAGGCCATCGGCATGCCATAGCCAGATGAGTGATTGGCGCAGCTTGCATTCAGCGCTTAACCATTACATAAGCACTTACATAAGCATATATATGGTATATGATAATATAACTATATATTCCACATATACCTAGGAATTCATAAGGAAAATGCGAAAACCGCATGTAAGTAATCGAAAACTAGCTAAAGTCTGCCACTTGAAATGGTTCGTGTCAAAAATGAGGAAGTTGTTACAAATTTCCCTTCGTTTCCCCACTGAACTCGCTCATCTCTCGCATTTCTCTACACGCCCCTACAAAATCGGTCGTTAAGGAAGCCGATAATAGCCAAGACGGCAGCTGCCGTCAGGGTAGTAATGGAGAGAAATGCAACAAAAAGCGCCACATCAGCGTAATTGAAAATAAAATAATAAAACTAGAAAAGTGGCTGAGTTGCTTACTACAAAAGTGTGCAATGCTTCTTTGTGGTGCATTTTCTTGAAATGTAAGCGTCATTGGCGTAAGCACTTGCCACAGTTGCCACCGCTCGAAGTCGCAACATCGAACAAAGTACCGTAAGTGCTCATATATATTCATATGTGTTCGTATGTATGCATGAGTACTCCGTTTTTCCTCATAATGCCGACTTCCGTCGTTAGTTCCGCATTCTCGGCAAATACTTTCGGTACTTAAAGTGCAGCACTTTTCAGTTTATTTTTTGTAACTGATTCTCGATTTTTGTCCATTACTGATTAGTTCGTGCCTCATCAATCACCAAATTGTTGCCAGACTGCCAGCTGCTATGGTGGATTTTGCAAACTTTCCGTCTGTCATCGTTAAATTTTGTAAATAATCTAGCGAAAGGTTTTTCTTTAAGAGAAAAGTAATAACTAATAAATATTTCTATATTTTTTGGTAATTAACGAGATACATATACATATTATTTAATGATAGTTAAACACTCCGATTTAAACGAGTAACCATTTTGCATTTTTGGTCTTGGGTAAATACTTCAGTCAAACTAAAAATTAAAATTTTACACGAAGTATTGTCAAACAGTCACGACACTTATCAAAGTATTTTTTTTCCTTCTCGAAAGCACCGGGGATTTATAGTTTAAACTTTTATTTAGCAGAAAAAGCTATAACAAATTTTTTTACAGGTGTATTTTTATAGCATAAAAGGGTATGCAAAGATTTATATCTTGATTTTTATCGGTCAGTTTACATATGCCACAGTTGTCCAATCTGAACAATTTCTACCGAATGGTAGAATGCCTTGGAATATAATCTATGCGAAATTTCGTAAAGATACCTTGTCAAATAAAAGTGTTTGCCATACAAGGACTTGAGTTTGATAGATTAGTTTTTTTGGCAGCTATATGGTATAGCTTGCCGATATCGGCTTTCCCAAAAAATGAGCAGGTTCTTGGTGAGAAAAATACGTGCAAAATTTCAGGTCGATATCTCGATTTGATCATTTATATATATACTTTGTATAGTCTCCATAGGTTTATATTTGAGTATTACAAACATCGTGGCAAACTTAATATGCCCTGTGCAGAGTATAAGAAGAGAACAGATCTGGCTACCAAATCTTCCAGCAGAGTCGCACACCTTTGCCAATCAAGTAAAATTACGCGAGAGATGAAGTAATCCATTTGGAACTAAAGCTATAATAGAGCCAACATCTATCTAACATACTTTGAGTTAAACAAGTCAGTTCACAAACTTCAGGAGCCAACAGTCGTAGCGAAAGTTTTGAACTTCGTTCGCACGAGATTTGTAGCCGTCCAGTTCTGCACTCATTACCGTCTAAAAAACAAAGCTAGATCCCATAAATACGGGCTGCTTATTCCGAAATTGGTTCACATACCGTCCAAAGAATACTCAAACATACGTAAATAAACCTAGTCACCATGAGCTATCAAAATTACGTCATCCCTTCATCGTTTCAGGATATAGCCAGTGAAGAATTACCCTCAGAAATTATGTTCGTACAAAATTTGAGAGTACTAGATTAGATGCCGAGGCGACGCTTATAGAGCGGGTCAGAATAAGCACCAAACTCTCATTAGAGATTCTTACTAGCGAAATCAAACAACAGTCAACGCTCGGTCACTTAACTCGCCAGATTTCGTTACTCGTGCAGAGGGTAGGCGCTATGTAGCGATTAAAGACGCAATACGCTCTAAAATTCTCCACTTTTCATAACTTATTCTTACAAAAATTGTTTTTTTTTCGATGTGACACACACTATAAGTGCGTTGTATGCCACATGTAAATTGGAACAAGAATTGAATTTGAAAAGTGATTGACAACTTTCTTCATTCAGTTTTTGTTTTTTCGTGTCGCGTGTATATTTTTTTCAGGGGACTTGAAATAAATAAAATATATATATATATTTTTTTTTTGTTTTACAAGATATATATTTAAATAGAAGTATACATTTATTTTCTGGAGCATTTAGTAAATAATATTTGCAAATATTTTGGAGGATTAATTAAAAATGGCAGCTATTGTCGATGACTCCAAACGAACCAAGGTTTGCTCTTACATACACAAACAGTTTTCGAACTTTAAACGATGTCTTACAGATGACTAAGGTAAGCACACGAATAACACGTATGCCCTACAGGCAACTTTACGATACTGAAATTGACGAGATGATTAGCGTGCGACAGACTCTTAAGGTTAGTCACATACATATGTACATATATAACAGTAGCTGTAAGAGATAAGTTTCCTCACTGGCCTTTCGCAATTATAGGTGCACAACGATGAACTCGTTGACGTAACACCTAAACTATTGAAAGTGGACAATGCTAAAGAGCGCAAATATAAAATATTAAATGAAACGTTAAAGACTGATTTGTGTCCAACGGATTCGTCAACACGCGGCAGTTTAATGAGCCGACAAAGTGTGGCGAGCCATTCCAGCACGCAGAAAATTAAGTTGGGTGGTCTACGCTTGTCCTTAGATGACGTTATAAATAATGTACGTAATAATGCGGTAATTTATTTATACAGGTTGGTTCATATAGCTGTTTAGTTTCAAAAAAGAACATAACTAAGAAAATTAGTTTTAATGATGTATCAACTGGTGCTGAAAATGCTTGAAAACTTCGGTTGTTACCGATATCTCATTGGGAAGACTTTAGGCCGATAGCCGATAGCCGCACTGAAACTATAACTTCCGGTATTATCTGGCAATATTTCCAATGAGAAAGAGCTCTCTACCGAAATGAGCGAATTAACAAACCCTTATGGAACACCCTATATGCATTTATTTATAAACATAGTTATTTTTTTATTCAGGTCGGTAGTTTACAAAACGTCCTGACGAGCAACGAACAGGAGGAGGAACCTGTATTCTATGCACAACGAAGTGAACATAAATATCCCTTCATAAAAATTGTGTTACAGAAAAGCCCCATATTTTTACTGTATGAATCTGAAAGTTTCACCGTACCGAAAGGTACAATACTGGCAGATCTTGTTGAAGAGGATAATAAAATTTATGATTATTTGACCATCGGGCGTGGTAATGTACGTAGGCGTAGTGAAGCTGAGACCCAAACTATAAATGCGGTAATGAAAACCCGTTATGTTAATACCAATAATCGTGATCCGGAGGAAAAGGGCACATATGTGTCCTTTTATGAGATGTACGATACGTATAAAGGGTTGCTCAAACACGATAAGGACGAAGCGGGTCGCAAGAAAAGCCAGAGTGTGAGCAAAATGAACGATATACAGTATAATGCGGAGCTAGCTCAGCTAAAGGAGAACTCACGCTTTAAATTTGCCACCATGATTATGGAGCGCATATTAGCGGGGAATGTGTACCAGAAGAGTCAGCTAAGTTTTCGTAATTTTCTTCAACCTAGTAAATCGGATAATGTCGCGGAGTACCGTTACAAACCCGAGGTGATATTCACATTGCATGCGCCTAAGTTTGGCGCCCACCATGTGTCGGGTATAAACCGTAAGGCTGTCTCGGATATCAGTTTTTGCTATGGCAATGGTGATATTATAGCTGTGGCCTATGGTCTCTTCTCGTATTCGGCCTTAATAACCGTATCCACGGGCGATGTATGCATTTGGAGCATTAAAAATCCAGAGAATCCCGAACTCAGTTATCGCTATAACATACCGGTGACATCGGTTGAATTCTCCCCATTTTTACCATTTCTACTAGCCATCGGCATGATGGATGGTACAGTTGAGGTGCGAAACATAACCAGACCCAATGATCCACCCATTGCGGTTTCACAACGCAGCACATCACTAAATGGCGATCCGGTAATCGCATTGAAGTGGATCAAACAGCCACAGGACAAGTATGACATTGATCCGATATTGGCGCTTTCATCTAACGGTTCTGTCTGGAAGTATTACATTATACATAGTCCATATCTGTTGGGCTTCAAACAGATGGTGTTGTATCGAGTTGATGGACAACCTGAGGGTTTGCAGATCAAACAAACTCCGAATACCGTTGAACTCTTTGCGAACAGACGTCCGCTGGGACTAAATATCACATTGCATCCGCAATTAAGAGATATTTACTTTATGCTCACCGATGAGGGTTGTGTGTACAAGTGCTCGACCAATACGACGCATACATACTTGGATATTTGGCAGACCCATGAGGGGTCAGTTAATTGCATGGATTTTTCTCCGTGGTCGCCGAAGCTGTTCCTAACTTGTGGTAATGATTGGTAAGTGTTTCTCAAAGTTACTGACTCTTAGGATCTTTGAAGAATATTAATCACTTGGCTGAGTCGATAACTTGAAAACAGACTCCCGCGATATTCATACTAGACGGGACTGCTATTAAAGAATTTCAAAGTGCGGTCTACGACGGAGATTACCAGTTGTAGTCTGTTACATGACGTCTTATTGAGTGAATCTCTTCTCTCCTTTTGATACTCTCGGAATCTATGTGCCGAATGAGTACGTTGGAACTCCAAAGGTCCCTTTTTCTCGTAGCCTAAACTACATATCAGTTGAGTTCTGATTTAAATCCGAACTGTGTACCAGGCTAATTGGCAAACGACAGTCTATAAACTTATTTTAGAAATAGTCAGATGTACATATGATGCATTACTTGACCTAAAACACCGGCTCAAAGCAATTCCAATAACGTTTAGGTTGAGCTCAAAGGTGTAGGGCAAACAAGACAGAAAAAAGTGTAAATTTTAAATGAAGCACCTCTAAACCTTAGGTGCATACGAATCTGGATGGATGGAATCTTAAAACCCCTAATTACGTTGAAATATAAAATGAAGCCGATTTATTCGGCTCAATGGAGCCGATCACACTCAACCGTCATTATTGCCACCAATCGAGCCTCACTGGATGTTTGGGATATCCATCGCAATATATTGACACCAGTTTCACGCACAAAACTAAGCAAATCCTTCAATACGATGTTTGAGTAAGCCTATTTCTCAATTATTCTACATCAAATAAATTTTTTGAATTCATATTTGTTCTAGGCATAGTCTATGTGGTCGCAGTTTGGCAGTAGGTAATGAACAAGGCGACGTCCATATTTGTTCGTTGATAAAAATGCCATTCCAGCCACACTTTCAATACGAACAGTTGCGTCGGTCTCTGTTCAATGCAATTTCAACGTCTGCAGATCTAATAATCGAGCTGAATAATGTCGGCTTTTTCGGATATCCAGGGAAGGGTTTTCGGGAAGAAAAATGAGCAAATATCAAATTCAATTAAAATTTTTTGGCAGTGTATTTAAATGGTAAAGTAACTGTAAATTAACTGAGTGTAGAATGAGTAAGGTCGATACGGATAGTGCTAATGTAAATGGTAGCGATAATTATTGTTAGAAATGTACAAACATTCGAAATTGCTGTATTATCTTAGTAATAATGAATAGCATAATAAAGATAGTCATGTAAGTGCTGTGTTATTACTGATACCAAGAAAGATTAATAATCTTTTCTTAATTTTACAAACCAAGTATTGACTTGGAAAGGTTCAGACGTTTTAAGTTTGAAGGATTTGGTTTACCTTTATGCTTCGAATTTCGGAAAGGCAAATTCAAAAGAGTGATATTCTGAAGAGAAAAAATATTCAAACGCAGTTACTGCCTAGAGTAAGAATATGTGCAGTTGTAATATTAGGAGCCCATTCTTGAAAAAAAATCATTCAAAATTCAAACGACAATATGGTAAATAGATAAGAGCCATCTAATTGAGGTAATTTCCCCTTTTGTCAATATACCATCGTGAGTTTTACTTCTGATGAGAAATTATTTCGACCAAGTTAGATGACAGCCCTACTTTACCGCATTTCAGCTGTTGAAAGAGGTGAAAACTTATTCTTAAAACATTTTAAACGAACTACCATTAGTTTGGTATTTTTCTTTAAATCCGAGTAAAAATTGAGATTTCGTGATGAAACCCTGTAGATATGTGCCTTGGCGCAATGAAGAGGTCGGTATTGCAGACGTAATTAGAGTATTGCCACGCCCAAAAAATGTTATTAAGAAAAAAGCTTTAATACTATAACAAAGCCGAAAATTAAGAAACAAAACCGTAATTTTATATAAGTGGGTATGGTCTCATCTCGTAATCGATTTTATGTATATATCTCACAAACCTCTAAAATTATATCAACCAAACTTGCTGAGAAAGAATGCTTTCGGTACCTATTCAGTCGGTGGGAAAATGGGTGAAATCGGATAGTAATCACGCCCACTCCAAATATAACGGCTATGTTGAAAACTACTAAAACTGCGAAAACTCAATAAACAAAAGCAACAGAGACATTTAATTTTACACTCGTGATGGTACGGAAGAGCTTTAGAGTTGCCGGTAATTTGACAACAGGCTTGCATCGCCTACTTCTAAGTGAAATCCTATATCTCAAGAACTACTCGACCTATTTCAACCAAAATTGGTGCTTGATTTTGTTTTGCTACATTATTCAAATTTTTACAATCGGATTGACCAGGCCTGTATATAATGAAAAAAATTTTCAATTCCATCTGATTCTTTCACTTACACTAGTTTAAAATCAAGCACCAATAAAGATATTAGTTTACTACTTTGCATAAACAGTGATTTTGGGGTAAAATATTGCCAAAATCAGACGATGCCTGGTGCCGATTATGTGGATCTCAATACCTATAGCTGATTTTTCACCGAAAATGTCGACCAAAGTCTGAGAAATATTTTTCAAATTCAGGAGAGAGTGATTCTTTTATCGATAGCAGTGTGACTTTGAGCCAAAAATTGATTGAATTGGGTCAATACTTTCCTGAGTTTTCATATACCAAATAAAACGATTTTTGAATTACCGGTTGACTATGTGTGTCCTTGTGCCTTAAATGGATCAAATGGGGTCAATACTTATCCTAGCTCGCATACACCTAATATAAAGATCATCCAACATTCGGTTGACTTTATACCATATAAATATATCGGTCAATCTCTGAAGTATCTTAGCAAAATTAAGTTAACGTATATATTGATACACTAAAGCTTGATTCCTAAGATAGCTCCAGTCCAAGTTTTCGCCGATATACACGATATGGTCATTTTCAATAAACTTTATCTACAGCATTCTTTTTGATATCCATATGGCATTAATTGATGCCAAATATACATTGGGTCCATAATTTGTAATTTTCAAGAAGATGGTATCTTTATTTAAGTATGTATGTATGTATATGCCGCATATCGCAAACACTTTCTATTTTCCAATTGAAGTATATATAAACTTTCATAAAGCTGGCAAATCTGTAGGAATTTTCTTTAAATTAGCATATATTTGCTTGTGTTTTTGTTTATATTTATTTCAAAAAGGTGGCAACTTTGGAAATATTTTTTTTTGTTTTTAATCTAAAAAAGTAATTTTTAAGTAAAATGTATATGTATAGTAGAACGGGTCGAGTATTTTTCTATAAAATCGCGTATTGTTCTACGAATCATTCTAAACAACTTTGACCAAGAGACTCCAGGTCTAAAACCCATTTCAAGGAAGCGATTTCTAGGGCTATATCAGAATAAAATTTAATACATAGGTGCATTTGGATATTCTATTGATTATTTGTCGAAATCGGCCATATACTTAACAATGACAGTGAAAATCCCCGTAAATTAATTCATTCTAATGTATATACATATATAATATAATAATACCCCAACAATTTATAATATATTCCTCGTCTCCTATAAGTAGAAAAGGTCTAGCTCGTAGAGAACGGGTGGATGAAAGTTCTGCATTATTTTAGCAAGAAATGAATAAGTCAAATATCTATAATTTTTATTGATTAAACAAATTAGAATTAATGACAAAGGAAAATTTATGTTCTTGAAATGTTAACTAAAAGCCAAGTTAATTAAATTGTATATGGTATAAACACTGTTTCAATTGGATTTTCATGCTGCTTATATATACAAGTATTTGACCGTGCTTAAAGAGACAATAAGTATTGATATTCATAGGTAAATATTGTCTGCAACAATATATGCATATTATATATGTATGCATTTATCTGTGTACCTATGGCTTTGTACTTAAATACATAAATGGAAATAAAAACTGTTTGCGAAAGACTCGTTGGTCGAATTCAAATGTGATCATATGTTTTTAAGCACACAGAATTATATGTGGGTATGGTAGCACAATCACACCCTGTGAGAAATTTGAACATACTGTAGTTTTTGAAATCTCCGAAAACCTAATGAAATAACAAAATTTAAAAGAATAGCATTATATTATAGCTGTAATATAATAAAAAAGTATATATGTATATACAATATAAAAAATATACATATACTGTATATATAAAAAAGCAATCATTGGTAATAAATAAATAAATTTAAGAGGTTGTATCCACTTGCAAGTCGGAAAAAACGAGTTTTTCGCGAAATATATTTGAAGAGTCATTCTATTTTATAATTAAATAAAAATATTGTACATTTACAAAATTACATTGATGTATTTATTAATCGGTGATTCACTTTGAGAAATTTTGGATTACATTGATGCCGTATGCGATCTCTGGTAAGGCGATGAAGCAGAATTTTGTGCCTTAACCTATCTCAAATACAAAAAACAACAAAACATATTATTACAATCGATGAATACAGGTAAGGATCTAAGGACTAATAAATTTTAATTTTTGTCAAAATGGCGACTTTAAAAATAAGTGTTATTTTATGAAAAAATTTACAGTTCGGAGTGGTTCAAAAGGTCTAAACTATTATCAAAACTTCGTTCAATCGTTATTTCTAAGAGGGTCCTGCGAAAATGTGAAGTCGATTTGTCCCGCACTCTTCGGAAAAAATCTCTGAAATTAACGTTTCAAGAAAAACGCCTTCAAAGTTTTGGGAGGCGATTACTTTAAGTTAAACAATTCCAAAAAATTCAGTAATATCGCTAAAACTATTCCCCAAAGTCAACTTTACATTTTCCAAGAATATTTTCAAATATTTGAACATTCGCATTATAATGAACAATATAATTTATAGAAAGTCTTTAAAGCGCTCAACTCAGTTTATAACATCTCACAAACGGTTAAACAAGAAGTCTTCTCTGCTGCGTTAAACATTTCCTGCAGGGCATTCTTTCAAACTATTTACCGCATGTGTTTATTTGTTGCATACTTTTAAGTGCACTAGTCTGGAAATGCGCATTTAAATTGCAATTAAAGCATTTCACTTTCAATATGGCAAGTTTTTCTCTGCTCATGACGATTTTCATTAACCCATAATGGATTTTCCTCTTTTATGAAAATTAAGTTTGCCACAGCCATACGCAATAAAAATATATATTTATATACATAGGTATACCTACTTATATGTAGATCTATGCCCGTTAAACTGACTGTTTATATGTAGTTGTTGCGCATGTGTTTGCTTATAGGCATACATATTTATTCGGCCTATTGGTCACTCTTAATGAGTTTATTTGAGCATAAAACAACTACGGGCCAATAACATTGTATAAATAAATGGCAAATAATATATTTAATTTATAAATGTAAATATACGTAAGTATGTGCTCATGGATCTGTGGATATAAAGTTGGATAATCTTCGTAGGGTAATTGAAAAAAAGCAATAAGCATACGCAACTTTATTGCCATTGTAACTACAAATACAAAAACTAAATGGAGTAACAAGAGATGAATAGTATTTCAGTATATTAAGGAGAATTCTATATATGAGTAACGTTTGTATAATATTTAAATGAACGGTTTACTTAATTACTATTATTATAACCATTTAAAAAAGAAATCCGAAAATTTTCATATGGTTGCCACCTGTTTAAAAATTGGAAATCAAAATATATAACGTATAAGGTAAAAATGTATACATACAAAAGTTCTCAAGCTGAGAGGGATTCAGCGGACTAAGAGCTGATAATGTTTTTTGAGTAGGATCGCCAACTTTTTTAAAATTTTGTTTCATAAATTTTATAAGACAAACGTATTTTGTAAACATAGGCGTCTAATAGATAAGGCGAAGAGAAAAAGATTTTTGTATAAATCTAAATTTTCCTAAATCACTATTGTTTTAATAACCAAATTTACTCAAGACTAATCTTTTTAGTTGCTATCCCCGCCTTCTCCCCAAAAACTTAAATAAACTCATTAAATAAACCATACAGAAACTTTTAATTTTACAAGTAGAATGGCAAAGTTGAGCTTAATCGCAGCCAATGCAAAATCGGACAATGCGGGCATTATACTGACATGCCTATGTTACAGTTTAAAAATTGATCTGTTTTTTTGACTTTCCAGTATACAAATGAAGCACTAACAAATATATGGAAATAAAACTTTGCAAAAAGAGTGCCTTCAAGATATGCCATTTCAAGTCTAAACATTGTCAAAATCGAGCCATAACTGTTCCTGCCGTCATATACCCAAGTGTTCATACAAGTAAAT